ATTAAGCCTGAATTGTATTAGTTTAGTTATTTACTATACCTACGTTTAGTCCTTGCACATGCTTAAAACTAATCTGAGTCTTGAATAAATAAACTCCCACATATACTTAAGGCATTATCTAGGGCAGGCGCTAGATACCGCCTGGTGCAGTCTCTATGGGTCCTAAATTCTGCTACAAAGCGCCTTCCTAAGTTCTAAACTTTTGATCCCAGTGCTTACCCTAAATCATAAAATAAACTTCTCATCCCTTAATTTTGCGACTCAGTGCTTCCCCAAATTCCAAAAATTTCCTCTTTCCTAAATTTTGGCGTCTGGTGCCAACATATTCTGCTGCCGCTTCTGGGTGTATGGTGAATAACATATCAGTTATTTTAATTAAAATAGCACTAAATGTAATCTTTTGGCCTATGAGTTTCATTAAAAAAATCTATTTTCAGCATATGAAAAGAAATTTTTGTTTAATTTTTCCTTGTCAACATTTCTTAGAGCATTTAAAAAATCTATAATCATCGCCAAGCGTAATGTTAGCATAAAAGTTTGCCATACTCTTGTTATTCAATTCCCAATATAAAAAAAAGTTGAGACATCGCTGCATGAGTTATTACTGAAGCTGCCAAGTATTGATAAACATGCGGAGATGAAAGCAAAATATAATAAATAATGACTCGCCAGATAGCAGTGAGGCATGTAAAATAGGTGAATGTTTGGGTTTGAGATGTATGCCAAGCAGATACTCAGCTACAGAGCCAAATTATTAATCTCATAAATTTATGCTTACATGATTGCTTTTCCATAACGAGGTATTTTATTTAGTGTGTAAGTGAAATTAAGAATCAGAATTTTTAAGTAAAAATCTCTACATGTTTTATAATGGAAGGAAAAATCAAATACACATGCGTAAAGCATACCCCTCCCCCCCCAAAAAAAAAGTTTGTGGCTTTCCATGCAATTTTGCCACTGCTTGCTTTGTAGACTTTGTGTGTTAATTAAAATTCATTAAAGTTTTACAAACTATGAAATCAATAATAAAACAAATTCAAAATTCAAAATTCCAGCTTCCATGTGCCCATGTTCAGGTGGAGGATTATGTTATTTAAAATTTGGTGGCTCTAGGTAGTTTTCTCACAGTTCAAGAAACATGCATGCATTCATGCAGATTCTTCATTATTTATTTTCTTTAAATATAATACAGGGTGATAATATTTGGTGGTAACAATTTGAAACTGTTTTACAGTGATTCAGTACAAAATGCCGTTTTGAGACTAGTATCCCATTTGTAACTAACATCTTTCGGGTGAAAAATTAATCAACAAAATGGAAAATTACGGAAAAGGAAAATGTATGTATAAAAACGGTACATTTAAAACATATATACTGAAACACAAATAAGTGCGTTAATAAAACAAAAGTGAATTAAATTGTCTCCAGATGGCATTTCAGAGAGCATTGTAATCAGATTATTATCTGTAAAATAATAAGTAGATAAGAGCCATTTTCTTTAAAAAGCCTCCATGAAGGTTGAAGAAAATTTTTGTAAATGTATGGGAGCAATTATAAATCATATTTCTAAACTTGAAAAACAATTTCCCTTCTTAAGAATATGATTTTTTTATTTTGCTGCTTACGGACATTCATAAGAGTTTGACACTTGAATTAGAATGCATCCCTTGTGTTAGCAAGAAAAGCTAACCAGAAAATAGAGGAAATAAATCATGTAAACTAATTCATTTTATTGTATTAAAAATACGATTTTAAAGTATTATTTGGTTTATTATTCACATAATATGTTATGTAATTTATTTTATGCACTTTTTAGTTATTTATATTATTATGCAAAATAAATCATGAAATTCTGCATAGAAATAAATTAGCATTAGAATACATACTTTTAAAATATAAGAATAGAGCAGTATGAATAAGAAAGTATATGAATATCAATTTAAAATATTTTGTATTATTTTATGCGTAATGGATGCTGCATTGTAAACCTGACGATCCATAATAATGCTTTCATAATAGTCATTTCCAAGACTGACAAAAATCTGACTCATTTCCTGTGCTAATTGAAACACAAAATTAAATGAAGTGAAATTTGTTTGGATTTAATGTATTATGAAATTTATTGTTAGCATTAATTAGCTTTTAACCAGATGGGTTTGTAAGGACATATTCTGAAAATAAGTGAGCATAGTTTTATTTGATATTTCTATAACACAACTTGTAACATTATTTGTGCTATTTTAACTCAAAAAGGATTCTTTGTAAATATAGAAATTTATCAATGTTTTTGGTTTAGATGGATTACTATTTACATACATTTCAAAAAAATATTGTGGAAAAAATTAACCATATTTAATGTATATTCGACTTTAAATAATAGTTTAAGCTTATGTTTTATGCATACTGTAGTTTAATTAAATGTGCCATAGCTACATTACTAGGTCAGATATAAAATGAACATGTATAGTAATTTCATGAGATAAAATCTCTTGCTCATATTATTTACCAAATAATTGTTCAAAACCTTTTGATTTTCAAGAAAGTATTCATGAAACTGAAGGCGGAATAAGATGCTGTCAAAGCAGCAAGCGAACCCAACTACATCATCAGTCTCTTCTTCCAGTTTCATTTGCAAAAAGCTGAAGAACCAGCCTTTTAGCCCTGCTCATTGTTGCCATGTCTGCATGTCAAATCATGACATGTCTGGTGTCTGCATGTCTGATGATCTAAAATCCGAAAATTTCCGGAATCGCCAACCTCTCAGTGATTCTGAGTGTCTTATTTTCATATTCCGATATTCCAAAGATTTTTTATGCTTAAAAATATGCTTTGTGCTGTAACAAAAAATCTCTGATGTTTATTTATTGTAAAACTAAATCTATGCAATGTGTATTGGAACAATTTCTGCAATGTAAATGTTTGAAAGTGCTAATGCTGTACATTAAAATTATGAACTTTATATAAATTTGACTTGTAGTATGTATCTGTAGCAAAGGTATCTAGCATTGAATTGTAAAAATCTACCTATAGTTATTTGGTCTTCTTTGCAATTCTTCTTTGAAATTGGTGTCTGGTGTGCCATATCAAAGTGATAAATAATTGGGCCTTTGTTTTTTAAAGCAACCACAGATACTGAGGCCTACCAAAATATTGTTTAGGATAGTTTTAGGTTTCAGTTTCTTTCTTTCTTTCTTTCTTTTTTTTTGTTTTTTTGTTTTGTTTGTTTCTTTCCCTCTTACCGCCAGTGGCTGAGTGGTAAAATCATTGAAGACTTGCAGTTCTGGCCTGGGTTTGATTCCAGATGAACAGGCTAACTGAATGTGTGTTTTCATGTTTCTCCCATGTGTAGTGTGTATGCGAGCCAGTTTCCCTTAGAAAGTTCACTATGAAAGCATCCCCCCTTAGGGAGATAGCCCTGGCATGCGTAGCCATTATCAACTAACCAAACTAATCACAGTGCATTGTGTGTCGTCTTTCTAAGCATTCTTTTAATGATGCATATCAAATAACATGATGTAAAACTTAAAACTGATTTTTTTTTTATTTCAGTATTCTGAAAAATTACATGAGTTTAAAATATGTTATACACTTTGTTATTATGTAAAATACTAATATATTTAATAAAAACAATGTAAACGTGTTAAGTTCGCTGCTCTTATTTGATGTCTAAATTTTAATTTTTCTGCTGCTTTGGGTGACATGATTTTAACTATGCATTGCTGCATCTCTCCTGGTTTTATTGATATTCTTGGGTTTTCATATTTTCCCTTTTTTGATTGAACTTTTATTTAGAAAAATGTTTCTTATCACTAAATGAATTAATTGAATTAAGGAAACTTTAAAAAATTGTGCAAATTTCATTCCTATACCTTCTAATGATTTTCAGTAATTATTTTTATTAAAATTGTTTTGATATGAATTCTTTTATGTACTGTAGATATTTGCAAAATTTTATGTGAAGGTTCAACCAATGTTTAATTAGTTACTATTTGTATTTCATTTAATTTTACATTAACATAATGGTGCATAGTAGTACTTTCATAAATTATTAATGTTATGTTCATCGTATTTTAAAGTATTTTGATGATAAAAGTTTTCCTTCCATACATGGGATATTTTAAGTATAAATATATAAAGAAATAACAAAATAAAATTAGCCAAATAATGTTAAAATTCAGGTTGAAGTCACAGTCATGTTATAAAAGTTCAGTAACTTGAATCATGCATTATAAAATGAATATGAGTCAGTTTGGAGTTCTTTTGAAAAGGCATCACCAGATAATGCAAAAATCTCCATTTTACATCTTAAGTTTGACAGCTTGTGCCTTTATTATTCTCTGCTGCAAGCTTTCTGCTGCAAATCGAACTTACAATCTGAAATCAACTAATTTCCTACCTTTTTTCTATATTTACCAGTTATGCAGTCTGTCAACAAATCAATAATTTGCATAACTAGCTAGATTATTTTTGTAAAAATAGTAAATAATAATAATAACATTTTAGATTTATGCAGATTTCATGTAAAACTCAAAATATACACATTAACATAAAGCCTTTTCGAAACTAAAGTCTCAAAATTTGTGTCTTTGTTAAACTTCATTCATGTGTAAAAGAAAGAAAGAGAAGAGACATTCCGCACTTTTTTCTGCAAGAAAATTCTGTTGTGCATTTTCCAGTGCCATGTTTGCATTTCTAAATAATTAGTCGAGATATAATTGTGAAAATCAGCATGCGTGAAAACCTCTGCCCTTGGGGCCCTTTTTACAGTTTTCCATGAGATTTGCAAGCCCAGAATTATTATTATGATTTTGCACAAGGTCACAAGAGCTTTGGTTATGCCACTGTATAGTATATGCTTCTATGTAGACTTTCTACATAGAGTTCTCTCTAAAACTGAACTAGCATATAAGAATTTAAATCAGTTTTTCTCCATTTTAAAATTGATTTTATGCTGTTACTGATGCTAATCAAATCCTTTTTTAATTTTTTTTTATTTTTAGAGAAAAAGTACTTTGATATCGATGAAGACAGTAAACTTCAAGAAGAAATTGATACAATAAAGAGGCCAATTGTTGGTAATTTCAGTAATTTTATTTTTACAAATTAATTTGGCTGTAATTTTTATATTTGCATTAAAATATTATTAACAGCCTTTTCTTCCCCTGATTAGGTTTGGATTATGTAATTGAAATTCAGAAATGTGATACAGAAATTCCTCTTTTCCAGTGTTTTTTATGCAATGCAAATCTTGCTTCTAGTGAATTAGTAATCGAGCATTTACTTGGGATTAAGCACCGAATGGCCTACTTAGTAAGAAAAAAAAATTTTTTTTTAATAGTGTAAAATAATTTTTATGTTAAAGTTTTGACTGTAAAATGAAAGTATATGAAATTTATTGAAAATGTTCATTTCCAAGTTTCAGTATGCAAATAATTTGGGCGTCAACAAAATGGATGATCCCCCCTCGAAATGAAACTTTTAAAAGTGGAGATTTCAAAGACCTGTAAAACAACATGTAAATTTTAAAAATTAGTTTTTATTTTCATTTTAATCTTGGATTTATTTTTAAAAAAAAAACTTTTGCAGGTTATCAGTATTATTAATATTTTAATTTTGTAGTCATTTTCAAATTTCTACAGCATTTTGTTGTTATGTAAATGCAGGTGAGTTATGTCACTGACATGCTTAATTAAATTGAATAATTGCTACTGACTATGATTTACTTTTAGTATACTTCAATATGTTCTATCTCTACAAGGTAATAATCTATGAATGCTTTCCTGTAAAATCTGCAATTAAGGTTTTTCATTGAATATTTTAATAAACTGAATTAATTATTGAAAATGATAAAGCTATTGATTTTTTTTTTTAAAATACATCAATATTAGTGAAAGTAAGTATGTACAAGGAAGCTTTTTAAGATACTATTCCTTGCAATTTAAATAGCATTACCTGAAAAGTTTTTTGCAGATTATTTAATAAGTTTTTAAAATTTAGATCAGATTCTAGTGTCAGAATTTAAAAAATGCTGCATGAATACTAAATTCTTATATGTTTAGTATGTTAAAATTCTGGTTGCAGTGCAAATCTATATATATAAGGGAGAGATAAAAATTAAATTATGGAATATAGTAGGGTCCCACAAACTTGACGAAATGTGGACTGAAAGTCTGTCAAGTTTCCGAAAAATTGAGTTAAATATTATGTGAATTTAAAAATATCTACTCTTGCCCATTGATCTGTGAGTGGTGTTACTGCTTTTCCATCTGTCGAGTTAGTTAGAACTAGCAGTAAATCCAGGCTCTCCTTCTTGAAATTCATCATAAAATTTCAGGGCTTTATCTTGTAAAATTAGTCTTGAAATGGGTCTTCACTGTTCCCTTTGCTTTCTGAACCACAAATAAGGTGCCTCATTCACTTTTTCATACTCACCACCTTTCATAGATTTTTCTTTCCTTTAAACTATCTGTACATGCTCTTTTCACACACGAAGATTCGATTTCAGACCTCTTCTGTTCCCACCCTATCAAAGTAGCCCATCTAACACCTAAATCCGTGGTAATTTTGTTTACACTTTCCCCTTTGTCCAGTCTCTTTAAGGCATCTGGTTTCATTTCCATTGTCACGTTAATTTATTTTCTTTTAGTTTCGAATGATATTTTCACTTCACAGAATATCAAAAGTTCCCCAAAATATGCTAACACTTATACGCCTGGATGTGAACTGAAGAACGATACCCGAAATGAACGGGTGCGAGTTTAGTTTGCAACAAAATGCAGTCATATAACTTTAGACAAGTATCCTAATGTTTTACAGCAATAGAAAGGAATGTGCGCTAGTGACCAGCCGCTACCAGACTTTCTTCATATCCTCGAAAGAAGCACACAGCATTCCAAGTATTGCAACATATCTTGAAATTTGCTAGGCAGTTACAAGAATTAATGGCACAGTGCAAAAACGGCAAAAATTACAGAAAAAGAGCACTCAAATTCTTGAACAGAACTGGAAAGACATATGCACAAATAACAATTATATGTACTGTATGTAATATTTGCTCTGTTTGGCCTAGAAATATTTTTGAAAAGTTCCTAAAAAGTTTTTGAGTTATACGGAATGTTGAGATATTGGGAATCGAGTTTGCTTAACTCTACTGTACTTTTTTATTATTCTTTAGTATTTTTATATGTTTATGCTTTGTATATTTCCTTTTGGAGAGCAGCTCACTTTTGATAATTTAATTTTGATATAAATTTAGTGTCTTGATTAATTAATTAATTTCATGGTATTCTGCTTGACTTTAATAATATATACAGTATAAAGTCCGTAATCCGGACGTCCATTATCCGGAATAATCTATAATCCGGACCTCAAAGGCACAAACATATGCATGCACGTTTAATGTGCACGGATACGCATAAAGTGTTTACCCGTGCGCGTTTCCAATAGTGAAGAAAGTGACAGAGAGGTTATTGAAAGCAAAAAAATTTCTATTGACAAGTTAATCGGTATTCTCGACACAGCAATTACAGGACTTGGACAGTGGAACTTTGTAATTGAACGAGAAATTATGTCTGTTTATAGAATTAACCCCTTAACTGCCGCGGGCGTATATATACGCCTTGCTCAGCCGATGCATTAACTGCCCCAGATGCGCAGCCGATGCGTTAACTTTGCGAATAATTTTAGGTGTAGCAGCGCAAAGCAAATGATAGCAGTTTGGAAGGACGTATATATACGCCTGGGGCAGTTAACGCATCGGCTGAGCAAGGCGTATATATACGCCCGCGGCAGTTAAGGGGTTAAAGAGAAAGTATTAGCACAAAAAACGAAGCAACTTAAACAACTTACATTGAAAGAAATTATTAAGCTTTTTTTTTTTTTTTTTGTAAATTTGGATATTCTTTAGATCATAATTGCTCTTTATTTCATAAATTACGGTTTCATATTTTTAATTGTATAATTTCTGCATGCCATCTTATCAGATTTAAATATATGATCTATAACCCCTAATCCGGAATCGCCGAAGTCCCGATGAGTCCGGATTACGGACTTTGTACTATATCATCTTAATTTGAAATTTCTCAACTCTTATTGTATATATACACACATACACACGTATGTATGTGTGTATATTTCTTTCAGGTCTTATCTGTCTAGGTCTAATAGCCTGTGCACAATCAGTAAAGCCTTGTGTAAAAAAAATGAAAGCTTTCAGATTTTATATTAGGCCCAAAGGGGCTTTTTTTTTTAATATTTTATGTGTTACCTTTATTTATTAAATATCACATTTTTTGCACTTAAATCACAAAATTCAATTCAACAGCAATATCACAGAATAATTTTAAAAGAGTTTATCCGATACACGGTGTCCCAGAGAAAAAATACCCCCTGCATAGTGTTGCCATTGCTGGCTTTGAAATTGTTGTTTCTTAATCAAAACTCATAAATGCTTTACAAAATACGAAATAGTAAAATAAATTTCAAATTCCAAATTTGGTCTTCCAGATAATCATATTTGGGTGGAGATGTAAATTATTTAAAATTTGATGGCTCTAGGTACCGTTGTTTTATCACAGTGCCAGAAACATATGTACATTTATGCAGATTCTTCATTATTTAACTTGTTTAACCCATTAACCGCCAAAACTACAAGGAATGTTTCTTTTCTCATGAAAATAATAACAAATGTTAAATTAAGCATTTATAACAAAAATTTGCATTGAAAATAAAAAAAAATGCTCTTACCTATGGAAGAAGCGAGTGCTGCGTTCGCGCAACTTCAGCGGAATAAGACTACGGATGTTTAGTGAGTAGGATTGTACTCGTGTGATGTTTCTTTTGAGTGGAGCGCAGGATTACTTTTTAGCTGTATAACTTTTTATATATCTACAAATCACTTTAGTTGTAATTAATTTAATATTAATATAAACATTGTATTTCTTTTACAAATACAGATTATTTCATTTGAAAGATTCAAAGATGAAAAGCTTGATTACAATCATGATGTAAAGCTACATTACATACTTTGCATCTATAAACAGTCTGGCTATGCTACTCTTTACAACAAAGTCTTTTGTTATCAATGGACTTTACGATAAAATGTCTACCATCTCCATGCAATAGTTTTTGAATGCTGAATTTACTAGGTCTTTCTGTAGCTGATCTATTTCTGGCTAATTCTACACTTTCAATAGGAATAATGCATTCTCGCATCTGAAATCTAAAAGAGACTTTATATTTCCAGTAGTAAAAAGTAGTGATATTTAGTAAGTTTAGATACGGTCTCACCTCATATAATTTATTAGTATTGTCAATTTGACTATTGTCAAATGCAAATTCTGCTTCATATTCCTGTACTGTAAACGTGATATCAATTCTCGTACAACAGGAACAGAAATGTCCTTATCAAAAGATCAATACATTTTCTCTTGAGGGTAAAGAATAATATCCTGTAAGCAATAATATTCCAATAAATCTTCTCATATAGGCTTCAAATGCAATAAATTCTGGGCCTTTCCCCACCCCCTTCTTGCTGAGCGTATATATTTGTCTGTTCAACGAGAAGAGAGTAAATGTCTAAATCAAAAAGATAATCGAAAATCTGTGCACTAGCTTTACCTTCTGTTTTGTCTTTTATAATTTCTCTTCTATCTCTTTCTTCATGTTCTTTCTGAGACATAACTAACAGTTCCTTTTTTATCCACTTCAAGATTTCAGTCTTCTGCTTTTTAAACTTTTTAGTATGACTATAACTGCTTTTAGAAGGCTGAAACTTACTTCTTACATGAATTTCAACTTCCTCAGCAGTAGCATTTGGTAAAATATCATTATCATTATTTAAAACATTGCCATTCCTTTCTTCTTCGTCACTAGCCTCTGCAATTTCTGGGGGAACAAAAACAATATCAGTTTCATTCTGGTCATTATTAACATTATCATCATCTGTTTCTTCATCAAAAAATCTTTGAAGGGCTTCTTTTAATGTAAGATACCTCGTTCTAGGTATTTTTAAACAACCAGAACATCGAAAGGAATGAGCGAAAAAGGAGATTGATTACCCGTCTCCTGCTGACGTTGCGTCAACGCAACACCTGTTTTCCCTTCCTTCCTAACACAAATATAAATATCTGACTGATGTAATGTTCTGATAAACGGTGACCTTGACTAAAAATAGATCACTCATAAAACGGAGATTCTTTCGTTAAATATTTTCAGCAAAAATACCCGGTCAAAAATTTTGCTTAAGTTTTGCTTAAAATATGAAATTAATTATTATAAACAAAATGATTGTTGAAGGCAAATATTTTTTT